CTACAAAGAATATACAAGATTTCTGGGGGCTACAACAAGTGATGAAAGGTAAATTTCAGATAATTCAAGTAGAATATTTGTGAAATACAAATACTTGAGAGTGAACCATATATTGATGGTAGGGTTACATTCTGGGGTTAAACATTTTTGAAAGTTGATTATTCTTACAAATGAAGCCCAGTTTATAGATAATTTATATTGTAGTAAAAAATGTAGAATACACATTTGGATGCAGTTTTAAATAAAACATTTTAACCATAAATTTGTATGAAATGAGATATTCTATCATTGTTAATTTTAAGATTGAGTAAGCATTTTAACTCATCTGTATTTTGCATTGTTTCACACAGGATGCCAGAAGCCTGGGAGTATGCCACTGTGTATACAGAATTAATTTTGTGAATTTGGGCACAGTTGATTAAAAAACAAGAAATCTTCAGGATGAAAAAGCTCTCTTCCCTGTTCCAGAAAATGATACGAGAACACCATGGTCAAGGAAGTGACAGGTAATTATGATTCATTAATAGATTTTGATATTATTCACATTAGGGCTGCACAATGGTGCAGTGGGTAGCCCTGTTGCCTTGCAGCAAGAAGGTCCTGTGTTCAAATCCAACCCTGGGTCTTTCTGCATGGAGTTTGCATGTTCTCCCTGAGCATGTGTGGGTTCTCTCCGGGTACTCCAGTTTCCTCCCACAGTCCAAAAACATGACTGTTAGGTTGATTGGCTTCTCTAAATTGTCCTTAGGTGTGAATGGTTGTTTGTCCTGTATGCCTCTGTGTTGCACTGCGACAGACTGGTGACCTGTCAGGGTGTACCCCGCCTCTCGCCCAGTGAACGCTGGAGATAGGCACCAGAAACCCCCGCGACCCCATGAAGGATAAAGTGGGTTGGATAATGGATGGATGGATTATTCACATCAGCATATATTTATTATTCCTTGTCAATTTTTCACAGATCAGATCTTCTGAAGAAAAGACTGAGGCAAGACTTTTCCCAACTAAATTTCTACAAGCCTCCGAGGAAAAACCTGAGTGAAATGGTATTTACACAAGCTACAGGACTTCTCAACAAGGGTTCATCAACTGAAACTGAGTCATCAGGATCGCAAGAGACTTTGTCGAGTGGTGGAGAGACAGTTCAGGAAAGTGGTACATATGCAGCACAATGAGGCTGTACCAGAACCATTTATAGTGCAGGTATAACTCTTAAACAAGCAGTTAAGAGTGCCCCTAACATGAGTGCCAATTGGCCTCCTACATCTGAGGATCTAAATATTTCCTCAGCTAGAAAGATTGTGCCAATTGAACTGTATAATTCACTTGCTTGGTGCATAGGTGTAAGTGATGAGTTGACATTATCTAACATGGTTAATGTTAATTTTAATAAAAGTCATTGTTTAAAAACAGAAATGTCTTTGTGCCTAGTTTTCATTGTTCAAATTTTAGCTGTGTTTCAGTAATTTCCTAAAATTTTGCGTCCAATATTGTAACTGGTCTGCTAGGTGATAAAATTCACACCACTTTTCATAATAATTAGTTAACCAGACACAAAAGGGTATCTTGCTATTAGAGTTTTTCAATTGAAAATTCAAAGAATTGCAGTTTTCATGTGCAATAAAGATATATTTTGGGAGATTGTGAAATTGTTAAAAAGTGTATTTTTTCATTTAGAATAACTCCTTACTTAAAGCACGCAGAACATTGCCGCTATATAAGCTCTGAGTAAGTATGAATCTCTGTGGGAATCTAAATTCTGAGTCTGATAGCCTTAATAATAAAAAAGTTACAAGGGTTTGAAAATGGTAGAAGACCCAAATTTGTCACTTTTTTGGGTAAACTGCCACCTTTGGCACCCATTTTCTCAAATACTGGCAGGTATCCCATGGAGAACTTTTTTTCCCAGCTCGAGTACATATTTAAGATTGGAAAACTGCTATCGAAAAGTAGTCCCCAGGTTAGTGGAGCGAAATCCTATTTCTAGCCTCATTTTGAGCTTCAGCCTATGGCCTAACAGGTCATCCGATAAAAGTAGTAATTTGGAAACTAAGATTTTACCCAACCTTTTAATAATTTAAACTGCATCATGGATCATGCTGCTGGTTGATCTTCTAGTAGAATGAAGATAGGACTTCATAAAGGTCATATATTTGATAAATGAGATCCAATTTCTCAGTAGCTATTCATCATTTACAGAGACAATTAACATGAACAATAAAACACCTATATGGATGGATGGAGATTTAAAGCGTTCTTAAATTTCGTAAAGGATCTGTGGAGGAAGCTAATAATTTTAATTATGGAACCAAAAAAGCTTTTCAGACTCGTAGACCTTTGCAACAATCAAAAAAGACCTACAACTAAGTCAGCGTTTATAAAAAGCATTTGATTGCTGCATTTGTTTACCATAAAATGACTAAGAATTCTGTGAGTCATTTTCAGTGAAACAGCCTTTTATTAAACAAAAAAAAAAAAAAAAATTAAACCTCACATCTTGAGTACTGCACGTTACTGCAAAAAAAGTCAAAACAACCTATTGGTTCATTTAAAATAGCCCTAAATCACAAAATACTAACTTTTGCAAGTAATGTACGAATTTACTTGTGAAGATGTAAATAAAAACATTAACATGAAACACTTCCTCGCTTAATATGCTCTTTAACAAACAGCATAACGCTTTAAAGTTTCTTCTATCATCATCATGCAAGGGAGGATTTGTCTTACAGACTGAAATAAAACATTTGCCTCCCTGTCGCTACTTCCTCCGTTCAGCTGAAGTTGAAAAACACTCAGCAGTCAGCTGACAGCGCCAAACGTTTTAACTACGATAATGTTATTAGAATATATTTAGCAGGCCTGCGTGGGAAAAAAAATTACAAACTACATTAGTGTTACAAAGAATGGTTGCCAGTATGATAACGCCTTTACTTATGCCGCCAAAGTTTCCGCCTTATCTGTTTATAATGCAAAAACTGCGCTGAAAGGATTTTTTTTTTTATTTAAATGCAACTTCCTATATCAGTTCCGCATATATCTGAGTATAAGTTTACTGTTTTAATTTAAGAAGGCGTAATACCACAACAACAATTAGTCCCATCTGAAGCTGCAGCAACACAATTCTCTACGTTATCCTTGCAGCTAGCTAGCTGCACATTAGCCTAACTGTCCTTTATATAATGGGCATAAAAATACGCTTTAATGTCACTATTTTACACAGAAGGCGTTTAAAAGTTATATATTTTCCTATCCGGCTGACTCACCTCCTCACTATTGCTGGAGTCGAAACCAACATCTCCCCGGCGACCGTGCTTCTCCGCCACCCCCAGCAGACGCAGCAGAGACGGGTCCTCGCTTAACGCGAGGCCGATGTTGATGGGCCTCGGCCCGGCTGCGACCAGCTCTCCGTAGTCCAAGCTCAGTCTTCCGCGTCTAACCCGTTTCTCCGAGCGCAGCCTGCTGCGGACCGAGAAGGGCCGACCCGGGAAGCGAGCCCGGGCCGGCGGTGCCTGAGAACTATGCCCGGTAACGGTGGAAGTAGATGATAATCCGCCTCCCGAGGCCGCCATTATATTTACTACAACAACGGGGACGGCGCGGGGGCAGAGGATCACTGCGTCGATGCGCGAGGCAAGATGGGTCTGATCTAGGCGCGAGAACGGTGCATCATGGGTAAACCAGCATCGCTTTGAGGTAGACGACAGCGCTTTTAAAGGGCTGCTCTTTTATTGGGAATATGAATATAAAGGGCTTTCAAGCTAAATTTAAATTGACGCAACAGAAAATGTTTTATTAACTAAGGCCCTCCAGCTCTCTGTTATTTTTTGTTAACAGATGGTTGAGCCCAAGGCCGCCCCATAAGGCATAAGCAAACTACGTGCCAAGGGAAATAGGGGGCATTAGGGTGTCCAACAGTTCCCTCTTTAGGTTTTTCTATGTATAAGAATCTCTACAACATTACAGTAACAAAAAAACTCAATTTGATGATAAAACTGCATTCTTAAAATTAATATGTGTATGTAGAAATCATTCAGGGTATATTTGTCATGACAAAACATTGTTTCTTTTAACATGCTTGATATTTTATTGTGTATTTGAATTATGTCTGTTAAAGTACAATATATTAACAAGTTTTATTTATCAGAACTAGTGTGTTTGCTTTTGATCCTACATGTTATTTTCTGCAGTTGTAACCATTAAGCATATACAGCTTTTACTGTAAATAAATGGCATAGTAGTTTAAGTTATTTGGCATGCAAATGTTATGGGCACTGCAATGAGTTAATAGTAGGTGTGTAAATTTTCTGATTATTGCACTGTTGCATTGGCTGAAATAAAGGGCTCCAAAATAAAATTTTGCTTTGGGACCCAGAGAGGCTTGGGTCAGTCCTGGTGGAGCTATATATCTTTTTAGAAAATTGCAATTACATATAATATTTCAATGCATCTAGGCTGACCTAAACAGGGACTTTGGTTGGTCTAAAATTATATTTTTGGGTGAAGCCGAGGGTTTTATAGAAGGCTGCAGTGAAACGAAAATAATAATAAAGCTCTGAAAGAGAAGTAATTAATCCAAACTTATATAGATTACACACATTTTTCAAAGCACATTTCTTCAAAATAGTTGGGGGAAAAATTATAAACTTCTAAATGAAGAGAAGTGTCAACTTTTTCCACTCTAATGTGATCAGTTACAGTATATGTAAATATAGACACGGTGAGAATGACAACTTATCGTTCTACTAATGAAAGAGACAGGTTATTTCCCAGAGATTAACTTGTTTTGATATGAACCATGAGAATAAACCTAAAAATGAAAGCAATAAACCTTGTGCAAATACTGGAGGAGTATACAAATGAGTCCCGTATTTACATGAGTTGAAATGACCTTCAGAGAAGAAAAAGCCGTTCAACGACAACATAATACCACATGAGTTTATAAAGACACACAGAAAAAAAAAGACCTTAACATTTCAGGGTTTGTTTTACTTCACAAAATATCCCAAAGAACAAATATAAGGAAACAAAGAGACCCCTCACCACCAATTAATACTACAAGGACAGCAGAATTCTTATTCACTTTATTTCAGCAACATAAAGACAACACTTCAGACCAGTAAACAGAACTATCATTTATATTTCATGCTTATATGACATATTTTCCAAGTTTTGCACACAACCCTGAAAAGAATTACACAGCTACTTCATTATCGAGATCAACATTTTAGGATGAAACAAAGACAATCTAAACAATAAAATTGCCTTTTTGACACGATCCCATCGAAAAACAATACTGAATATTTACACACATAAGAACCAGTTTAGTGTTGAGTATTTCCTCAAAAAGGAAAATAAATAATGCTTCTAAAGCACATTAAAATTCTTTATCTAGCGACATGCATGACATGATCGTGTGACATCAAAGGGATGTTTTTTCCCTCTATATCATCTCTTTCAACATCAACCTCTCTTTTAATATGGGAGCTTTGATGAGCCTTTAAAGTGCTTTCTCTTGCACAGTTTTCCCCACAGGTAGGGCGGGTGTATTCAGAACTGGGAGCTTTCAAGGCGCGAGGTCCATGCTGCTCTTTTTTGTGAGTTCGCAATGCTTCCACTGAAGGAAAGGTGCAGTCACAGTCTTCTTCAGGACAGGGAATTTTGGGCTTCACAGAAGCAGTTCCTGTTGAGTCACTGCATCCTTCGTATCCCTTTGCATCTTTTTCTTGCTTGATTTTTTTAACTTCCACCTCTGGATATGTGGAAACGGGTTCATAGCGTCGTATTTCCCCTTGTGACTCCCCGAGAACACAATCCGAAAATTCCTCCAGGTGCTGAAGGAGCTCTTCTTCCGATTGAAAGCAAACACCGCATTTAGAGCACTGAAACATATCGGCATTTTCGGCTGTAACCTCTTTCTCGGGATGCATTGCAATGCGATGCTTGCGGAGGCGGAAGGGAATGGGGAACCGGGTGCCACAATCCTCGCAAAGATACCGCCGCTTTCCACAGTCCTTTCGCCTGTGTTTGTTCCGCTGCAAAATGATGGGAAAAAAATCAGGATAAATGGTAAATAAAACTAAAACTCTGAATTTAAAGCACACATGTAAAAAAACCTTTTCAGTGGTAATGCTCCCACCTCAGAAAAGGTGCAGAATCGTTTCTGACACAGGCTGCAGGAAAATGGCTTTTCATCAGTAATGTGTGTACGTTGGTGCTGGCTGAGCTCCTCTGCGGTGGAGAACGGCTTATTGCACTTGTAGCACATAAACAGTGTGTTATTCTGCAAAAACATAATCAAATAAAAAAAAAATAATACAGAAGCTATATTTTGGCTTTAAAAAAAAGATGCAATCTTACCACAATATACACTAAATTTATCAAATTTTGACATTTTCAAAATGTTTACAGCAATGTCCATACACAGTTTACCTCCATACAATTTTAGAAAAAAGCAACCAACTCCTTATTTGCATGGTTCCTAATTATTATCATTTTTCAAATATCATTTATCAAGGCTTGAAGTGTAAACATAAATGTTCAGTGTTTATTTGTGGCTGAAATGTCAACAGGGCTCAGTGTTTAATTACAGAACATGCAAAATGACAAAGAGGCTGGCTGAATGGATGGAAAATATACAACAGAATCATATCAAACCAATAATCAACAAAGACTAAGATGTAATAGTTTCTGATCCAATAATATCCATTGTTTTGTTTGACACATTAATTAGACGGCAATGATTTCAAATAAATCACAAACCAAATTGGATCCAAATCAATAGAGTCTCTGAGGATCAGGCACCTTTATAATATGACAGTTTTTCCCTCTTCGTAATTTTGCATTGTTGTGCTTGGAGGCATCACTCTGTTATCAGCCAGCTTTCTGAGCCTCCTCATGGAGGGTGTCAACAACGGTCTGCAGGACAGCTGTCAAGACAGAAATCTTTACTACAAACATGTAAACCTTAATACTGGCATATGTCTACTAAATTTATCTTCTTGTATTCTCTCATGTTATATTCTACTTTTTATGAGAGGGTTATTAGTTAATAAAAAATAGAAAAAAAATTACAGTTATAAATATTGTATATAAATCACTTTATATGAAAAAACAAAAAACTTGAGGAGTCCAAGCCCTAAAATAAATGAACTGAGTAGCAGTTCAGTTTAATGAGGCACATCTGTATGAAAGAGGAATTTGTTATCAGGGATAGCAATCAAAACGGTGGACTAACAAATGCTTAGCCCTAGTCAGGTCTATGTCTAGATCATCCTAAGGGGAAGTGGTGACCAAGCAGTTAGGGCATTGTGCTTGGAATCCAGAGGTTCTGAGTTCAAGACCCACTCCCAAAGCCTGCCACTAGGAGTCCTTGAGCAATGACCCTTCACCCTGCGCCAAAAATGGCAGACCACTGCTCCCCAACGGGATGGGTTAAATGCAGAGAGTTCATTTTGTTGCTCTGTGACAGTGTAATGACAATAAAAGCTGGAGAAAAAGATAACAACCAAGAAAGATCCACAAACAGCTTATAAAACAGTTAAAAATCCAACAAAATATAAATCTAAAATAATACTTAACATACAGAAAAACAATTGCCTAGCCTAAAATATATCGGTAAGCATGATGTTTTTTTGATGCAGTCAGCTGGTTTTCCTTAGATAGAAAACTTCAAATCATTCGGACTATATGATCTGGTTTAATTGTCTCTGTGAAGTGCCTTAAGATGACATTATTTAATTTTTTTTCCAATACTTTCTTATATTATCTGCACATATTTGTTTTAAAATTAAAGTTCATTATTTATTATTTATCTAGAGTTTAAAGCTGTTCATCTTTTAAAGATAAAATTGTGCTTTACTATTTTCAATGGATTCAAGAGTTTGTCTAAAAAAAACCTGCTGATTTTTTTTTTATTTTCACTCTGATGTCTTTTCACCTGTTGCAGATGATGTGCATACTCATCCCTATGGTTCCTCCTGATGTGTCTCTCCTTGGATTTGAGGTCTTTGAAGATAATCAGACAATGGAAACACTGTAGGCCCTCGTGGTGACCTATATTGCAATAACATGTATAGAAATTAGCTCATGGTTAGTTGTTGAACAAAAACTATGATTTCCTCATACAGTTTGTTTTCACAAGTGCAACTACAGAGGCAGGTTATAGAATGGATGCTGATGGAATATTTTGTGTTTTATAAATTAGCACTAACCATTCAAATTGGATGTCAACCTCTGTAGAAAGCCAGGCCAGTGCACAGAAATCAGGAGTTAAATGAGCTGTCTTAGAAGCAGGGGCAGAGCTAGAGGGGGGCCCAGGGGTGGCCACCCTTAGCCAATCATTGGCCACCCCTGTGGCCACCCCTACCATTTTTCCCTCTAATACAGATGGTGGCAGCAGTAATACTCTGAAAGGGAATGTTCAAACTTATTTAACATTTACATTTTTCATATATTAACAACTACTTTACACCAGAAATGCTGTGGTTAATTATGCACATCAATATACAAACATTAAAGATAATAGATACAGAATTCATGCTCTTTTCAGAACTAAATTTTAACTTATTTAGGGTAAAGATACAATTATGGTCCTCTGCAGGTCATCTAGGAGTCTTCAGTGAAATCATAGATAAATAACTACTTTAATAATAACATCAAAATTTATTTAATGTGGATATTAGTAGATTTAAATATCTCTTTTTTGCAGAATGATTATTGTTAAAAGTAGGTAATGACAATGTGAAATATGTTTGCCCCAGAACTCAAACCTGAAAGAATTTTGTCCACTATACCTTTTATTTACACAGCATAGATAGATTAAATACATGGGTCTATTTGTTAGTAAAGGCTGCAGGAAAGTATAGTTTGTCCTTATTTAGAAAATATGAGAATAGAAATTGTGCTCGTTCCTGCTGGAACAGTGTAGATTGACTCTTAGGTACTGGTCAGGGGTAGATCTAGATGGGGGGGGGCAACCATTGGCCACCCCTACGATTTTTTTCTCTCAAGAAGAATATTCAGAACAATTAAATTTTATATATATAAACAATAACTTGACAACAGAAACACTGATTGATTATGCACATCAATATACCAACATTAGAGATTAATACAGAATTCATGCTCTTTCAGAACTAGATTTTGTGTTATATGCCACAAAGAGAAAATGATGCGTCTCTTCAAGTCATCTAAGAGTCTTCAGTGAAATCATAGATACTGTAAATAACTATTTTAATAAAAACCTATTAAATTATCTATTTATGTAGATATTGGTATTTGTAAATATCAATTTAATGTAGAATAATATTGATAAGTAGGTAAGTAATGACAATGTAAAAGATGTTCGCACCAGAACTCACACCTGAAAGAATTTTATCCAATATACCTTTTATCTTGCATCTATTTGTTAGCAAAGGCTGTAGGAAACTATAGTTTGTATTTATTTAGAAATATGGAAGTTGTGTTTGTTCCTGTTGGAACAGTGTAGTTGGACCCTGAGGTTCTGGTGCCTATCCACTGTTGGCCACCCCTTAGTGTACATTGGTTATTGCCCAGCCCCCCTTATAAAAATGTTCTGGCTACGCCTCTGGTTCTGGTGCCTTTCGGCAACCCCCATTAGGATTTTCTGGCTACACCTCTGCTTAGAAGATGAGTTTAAAATAACAAAACTGCCAAGAAGATGGTGCAGTTATAAACATGTATAAAAGTTGCTTCATTTACACATTTGCTTCCAAGAGCAGCTCTTATAGTCTATTAGCTGCTATTCTAATACAGAGAAAACTTATTATTTCCTAAGTCCTTTGTAATAATAGTAAACAGCTTACAGTATTTCGGGGCGACCACGGGGTTGGGCTTGATCTCTGCAGATGGAGACTTGATTTCATTTCCAACGACTTTCTCTATCTTCAGCAATTCCATGCCAAGGCTTCCAGCAAGCAGATCTATCTACATTAAGGTGTGACACAAACACAATGTTATAAAAACAACCTAAGCCTTAAATAGCTTAAACATTCGTATATGTCTATCAGAGGGAAAGCGAAACAGAAAACTAACGCTGTATGTCTTAAACTCCAAGCATCAATCATTAGGCTGCTGTTAGAAAAATATGACAGCTATCCAAACGATGAATGAATTAGGGCGATATAAACAATAACAACAGAAGCGACGCTATTTTGTTTATATTAATTAAATTGATTTAAAACATCTAACATTTATCATCCCGCATTTTATTTCTGCGAGGGTTGACCCTAAAGTGTAAATCTGTAATAATAAAACAAATCCAAAGTTGCTTTATGGCGTCCACGGAAATGAAGCCACAACGTACATTTTAGCCCTTGTCACGTGACATTCAAGAAAATCTCGCGAGATTAAGTTTACAACGCAACTCGAATTTTGCCGTAGTTCCCTGCTGTAAACTGGGACCTGAATATCTTTGTTTAGAATTTTATCTTACATCAAGGACATATTTATTTAGCGTCATTAATCCTAGTGAGCCGTGGATCCCTGCACCCAAAATTGAAACGTTTTTTTTTTTTTTGGAATGATGCACTATTGTAAAGTGTTTTAACAATATAAATCTGTGCACCTGGAAAATAAAATAACCAATATACAGCTATCGCCATTTGTACAGTAATGGATATTTGAAAGCAGCAGAATGTTATTCAACTGACTAAGATAGAAACTGTGCAAAATCAACATGAGTGTAACAGCTTATTGAGGTTGTTGGGAACAGTGGCGGTTATAAAGTCTTACAACAATTTGGGATCAATGAGGTAGTGTAAATTATAAAAGCTGTAGATCTTGAAGGCTCTGGGCAGGAAAAATCTCCCGTAGCCATCTGCTAAAAAAAGGCCACTGACTAAAGATATTGTGTTGTTGTAAAATCATCTAGAGCTTCTAAGAGTCCCAAGAACGGAGCTGACCTTCTTTATCTGTCCCTATCCATAACTGTTTTTATGTTCCTTTATTTTCATTTTTCTTTTTCTTTTCTGCAAAGTGACCTTGAGTGTCCAGAAAGGTGCTGTTAAATAAAATGTATTATTATTAAAAGTAAACTGTCTTGTAGACAGCTTCACAGTTGGGCCTCCAGTCTAGTTTGTTGTGAAGGTGAACACAGAGGTATTTATACACCATTCCCACATCTATCATGATATTGTTTGGCTTGTTCCTTCTTCTCCTGATTACATTTTATTCACATCCAAGTTCAGATTATTGTTTCCTAAAAGCGTTCCACCAGCACTCTGAGCCTTCCAACTATGATGCAACCCAACAAATGTAGTGCTCTGAATATTTATAGTGATGACAGGAGTCTTTGTACTGAAAAGTGGAGGTGTGGAGTAAAAATAATTGCTGAGAAGTGAAAACGATTCAACTCTTTAAAGCCAACCATTAGTTTTCGGTAGGATTTCTTTATTGGCATTACCAAACACGGCAGAGACATCACCCAAAGCATTCTGAAGAGGTAAAACAGAGTACGTCGTCTTTAGTTTAAATATTTTCTCATGGAGATAAGGTTAAAGGCATATGAAGACATAATGAAGAGTGCAATGAACTGAAAAAGCCATTTAAGCCAAAGCCTGCTTCTGCTGCTGCTGCTGGTATTCAGCGATTCGGCTTTCCATCACAGGCCTGAAGTGGCGGATCAATCCCTAAAAACACAACAAAAAGAGATTAAAGCCACAATTACAATAGCAAACTAATAAAAGAGGGAACTAATTAAGGATAAATGGCATTTTTTTAAAAATTAAAAAATCAACTGTATTATGTTTAGATGTTTATTGAGGGATTTGGTGACATCTACTGGAACCAAGTTCAAATAAAAGGAGTACTTACTTTTTTTTTTTCTCTGTATACTTTAATTTCTACACAATTACATTTTTAATTAATACAATAACACCTTTAATCATATATGGTGAATGTTTTTTTTTACTGCATATTCAGATCATATTCAAAAGCTCAAAATTGAAGTGTAAAAAGCCTGTTGGTAGAAAATATTACACTTTTTTCCCTACAAAAACAGAAAAAAATCAAGGTGTTCTTGTTAGTGTATGATAAGTTGAAGAAACACAAAAAAGGATGAAAGTAAGAAGGGTTGATACAGGGAAGCCAAGGAAAGAGAAACAGTGGAAAGACGAACTGAAGTAAAGAATAGAAGGACACAAGGGAAGAAGGAAACAAATAAACAATAATAAGGAGTTAACACATGAGAAAGGGAGGCATGATAAAGAAAGGAAGAACCAAGGACAGTTTAAAAAAAATGACACAAAAGATGGGAAGTAGAACACATTAAGAGCTTAAAGAAAGTAAATAACATGAAAAAAAGAAAAGAAATGGAGGTATAATACAATGAAAATTAAATAAAGAGAAGAAAGGAATAACAGAAAGAGCTTGGATACACTGACAGAGGGAAAGAAGAAATTAAACAAAGAAACCAAAGAAAGACTAGGAGGAATGGTTACTTCAATCAGGAAGGACAGGAGGAAGAAAAGAAAGTGGGTCATAAGAATACTAAGAAATTAAAAAAGACAAAAGAACGACAGGCGGAAATGGAAGAAAGAAAAAAAAAAGAAAAGAATAATGAAGGATAGAACGCAGGACAGCAGGGTATAAGAAAAGAAAAAACAAATATAAAGGGCATAAAAGTAAGGCAGGAAAGTAGGAAACAGAGGGGGAATGACCTCTGACCTGATTAAAGTGGGGAAGTGGCACAACAGGAATAAATAAAAGAAAGAAAAACAAAGGAAACTAGGATAAAACAAGGAAAAAGAATAGAGAGGGAACAAGAAGGATAGAGAGCAGGAAAGAAAGAAAAGGAAAAATAAATGAATTCACAAGAATAGAAAAGGCTGTCCACCAGGGAGGAAGAACAAGAAAAAAAAAAAATTATCCAAGGAAAAGAAATCAGTACAAAGAATAGAGAAAGAACAGGCAAGAAGGGAAAAATATAACAATAATTTAAAAGCTATAAACCCTTTATTAGTACATATATGGGGCATCTAATAGGAATAATTGAGGGCTTGAAACTCTACACACTCCTGTTGTCCTTACCTGTACAGGCCAGGCTGCACCGTCACCAAGAGCACAGATAGTGTGTCCCTCAATCTGCTTACTGAGCTCCCAAATCATATCGATCTCTGCTGGCCGTGCGTCACCACGAACAAAACGCCACATCATCTTATTCATCCAGTCGACTCCTGTAGAAATAAAGTGCTGTTATTTAAAAAGCATTTAATAAATAAAAAAAAAGTCATTTAGGAAGCAGCAATTACCCTCTCTGCATGGCGTGCACTGGCCACAGCTCTCATGTTTGTAGAACTCAATCAGGCGGGCGATGGCTCTGATGACATCAGTCTTTAAAATAAAACAACCCTAATCAACCAATGAACTGGGGCTTTGCCAGCGTCTGAACAACCTGCAGAGGTGACAGACTCACAGATTTGTCCATGACGATGAGCGCGGCCGTGCCGAGGCCAGTCTGGGCTTGAATAAGGCCGTCGAAATCCATCAGCACCTCTTCGCATACATTTTTGGGGATCATGGGAGTAGAAGAACCTCCAGGGATTACGGCCAGCAGGTTGTCCCAGCCGCCACGCACTCCACCTACGCCACAGATGTTGTTTTCAATTAAGTGGGGAATAAAACTATACTAGCGCTTATGTTAAGCCGTCCTAATCTTTGACTTCATAACCCCTGATCTGAAGGATAACGTGGCAGATGGAACATTTGGGTCATCCACCTCTGACCTTTTGATTTAATTTTAATCTAAAAACTAAACTTTCTTTAGATTGAGTTTTCAGGATGTCAATGTTAAATAGAAAACACTGAGGTTTAGTCTTAATTTAAAACATGTATGCTTACAGTTTGCAGGGTCTGATTAAAAAAGCCACAAATAAACATAGAAGCATCAAACTAGACATAATTTTCCCTGTTGGTATAGATGCCGTCATAAGTTCGAGCCCGGGTAAAAACAACAGGATGAGGCTTACTGGGGTCCATCATGTACCTGCGTGTCTCTCAATGAGCTCCTTCAGAGGGATGGACATCTCCTCCTCCACAGTGCAGGGGTGGTTGACATGACCAGAGATGTTGAACAGTTTAGTTCCAGAGTTTCTCTCTCTGCCGAAGCTTGCAAACCAGGTTCCTCCACGACGACAGATGGCAGGCGCCACAGACACCGTCTCCACGTTAGCAACAGTCGTTGGGCAACCGAAGACACCTTTAAGAAAAATATGTAGGGAGAAGACATGAGAGCTGCAGGTATTTAAATCCACATATGCATAAAAAATAAATAAATAAAAAAGATCTAAAGGGTTGGCACCATTGTGTAAAATGTATAGATGTTACTGACCGACATCTGCAGGGAAGGGAGGCTTGAGACGTGGCTTCCCCTGCTTCCCCTCGAGGGACTCTATGAGGGCGGTCTCCTCTCCGCAGATGTACGCGCCAGCACCACGCATCACAAACACGTCAAAGTCATAACCAGAACCACAGGCGTTTCTGCCAATCAGCCCCGCAGCATAAGCCTCGTTGATGGCCACCTGAAAGAGAGAGAAAATAATAAATCTCAATGTGTAACAGTGGATCAAATTTTTATTAATTATAAAAGATAAAATAGATGATACTTTCCAAAAAAAGTAACATTAAACAATTATCTTTGATCTTAGCTGAATGTATATATTTATCTTTAAAGTTGTAATTTTATTTTAATTTTAAATCTACAGATTTTTTCCTGCAACTTTAGACATTTATGTAAATCTAAGCGTTATTTCTTTTAAATCTTTGTGGATTTTGAGTCTAAGCTCCCTCATCAAGCAGCAACCCCTGCTGCAGTCAGTGCACTTGATTTATACTTAAAAAAATAAAACGTGTGTAACTGGGGAAGCACTGGGAAACATGACCAGCTTTCAAATTTTACATAAAAAGCTGTCTGATCTCCTTTACAACACATTCCTGGAGCAAAATACGCACTTATGAAAAGACATCATCCAACAAGGTTGTGGTTTAAGGTGGTATTCAGAGATAAAGTGAAGCACTGATGTAAATAAAACATGCAAGATACCTGCAGTGGAGGACTGTCTTTGTATTGTTATAATGAGATAATAACTGGAGTTCGTTTTATGATTTTGCAGTACCAAAAAAAAAAAAAATAGAAAAAGGCGTTAACTAATTAATGTAACTATGAAAAAGAAACAAGCAAACAAAAAATGAGTATATTTAAAAAGGTCATTAAAAATTCTCTCTCTCTCTCTGGATAAGAGCTCAAGCTCTTTTTAACAGGTAATTTCCTTCATTAATTATTATTAAAACTTTA